CCTCTGCTGCGCCCCAGCTGGCGAGCATGCTGTGTCGGATGGAGACCCAGGGGGCCTTCTTTTCCACCCAGTTTCCTGGCACTAGATCTTTTAGATATTTCTAGATTATTTCTGAAGCATCCTGAGGCGTCCTGGAGAGTCCGCGCTCTTTAAGCTTTTCTCCAAAGGTTGCTTCTCAAGATTACACTACCCATGCTTCTAGATAAATTGTCCGGACTCGTACCTTTCCACCACCCAACAGATAAAGGTTCCCAAAGGCCTCGCGGGCTCCTGCCAAGTTATCAATTCTGCAAATCTAGGCAAAGAGGAGCACATCTCTCTCTTTGCCTACGTTAAGTTGAAAAACGTGATAGTGATATAAGGTGACAGGCTGTAGGCAATATTTTTCACCGCATGAATTATTCATGGTTAAAATGTAATCGGCTTCCCCGTGGGCTTTATTTAAATGTTGCCTTCGGCTGACACCAGCTTCACGCAAGACCTTAGCTCTGGGTTTGTCTGGCCTGAGCAAAAACCGTTTCTTTGAAGTATCCATTTTAGGGACTTCGTGCCCTGCGTTTGCCTTCGTAGTAAACGTAACACTCCTCCCCAAAATTATGGCATGCCCTTCCAGGAACCTCGAGGGTTTTGAATGACTGGGACGGGGGTTATCTGATTTGATTTGGTTCTCATCCAACAAGGATCCAACCCCCAATTTTCCTACCCCTCTTTCGCTCTTACAGGGTCTCTAGAACAAATTTCAACGCCCAACTTTTAGAACTCCGCCCGAGGCTGGTAGTATCCACCTAGATGCCAAGAGGCAGACACACCCTCGGGCGCACAGGCGTGCTGGCGCGCAAAAACGTAGAAACTGCCCCGCCCTCCCTACGCGCTCTCAGTATGGTCACCCACCCTGGCGCGCTCACCACTCGCGGGTTAACACTGTCACAAACTCTTACCCCACGCCCCTGGCCACGACCGACTGCAGGTACTTCCTGGCGGACAGCTGGTCCAAGACTTTGCGGTAGGCTTCGTTAAGGATTTCATGGGCGACATCTCTAATGGGGAGACAAAGTATGCGACCTGGGTCACTCACTGCCTGGGCCCTTCAAGGGACAGCCAAGGCCCCCCACTTGCTGGGTTTTCAAGGAGGCTGACCCGGCAACCACGAGTGACACGGGACCTGGGAGTTAACTTTGGGGAGTTCCTGGAGGTAAATCTATGATGGGATTTAGTCCTGGCCTCTGGGGTGACCTCGCTGGCCTGAGAGCTCCCCACCCACCGAATTGCACACTCACGGACACTTCCCGGGCCGCAGAGCTTTCAGTCCGCGGTGCGGCCTCAGGTTCACGGGGATCTGTCTGCTAATTTTCTGTGGCTTTCATGGATTCGCCCAGGGAGAAGGGAGGCTTGAGGACTTTCATAGGGGAGGGTCCTAGTTTGAGAGCCACTACCGGGTCCCTCCCGCCATGTCAGGCCCAAGCGGTAGGCGGAACCCGGGCGGGTTGTACCTCCTGTCGGCTGGATAGTAGAGGGCGTAGGCGTCACGCAGCGCGGAGGCGGGGCTCCCTACGCCCGGAGGGTCCCAGTCGTAGAAGTCCTGAAGCGGGTTTCCCTCCTGGTCGTAAGCCTCCTCTTCTGGTCTGCGGGACAGTCAGAAGGAGGGTCATTAAAAGTCCCTCCCCAATTCTGCCAAGTCCCAAGAAGGTCCCGTTGATTTTCTTTCTTCGTTATGGTCCCCCACGGAGAATTGTGATTTCTTCCAGAACGGTCCTAGGGACGAGGTAAAGGGAACTACACCCAGCAGCAGTTCCTTCTCCGCTAGGAAATTCGCTAACGTCTCCTCCGGCGGATCAATGATCTCCCCGCAAGAGGACTGAACAACCATGTAAACCCTAATACCTGGCCAAGTGAAAGGCCGGCCCTCTCCCCACCTGGTGCCCCAGGCTTCCCCAAGTAGCATTTAGAGCGCACGAGAAAGATCCTAAGAGATGGTAGGAGCCGAGACGGGGAGACCCAGTGCGGAATGGTAGGTACGATGCAGGAGGCCAACTCTGGCAGCAGCCACCCCCATCCAAGCCGCCCAGCCCAGGGGAGCCCTTCCCCGCGCGGATGTAGGTCACAGAGAACCTCCAGCTTCTATTTTGGGCTGGAGAGAATCTGCTAGGAACATGAATAATAGATGCCCCTAAAGTTAGCTAGTTTGGCTCATTCTGAGGTGCGGCGGAGCGCTCCAGTGCCTATCACCCAGGAAAAGTGCTAGGCACACGGAACTTTGAGAATAGCCGGAGGTGAAAAAAGAGGGCTTTCGAGCCCATTAAACAAAGAGTTCCTGGTGCTCTGTTAGCAATGGCGGGGAGGCTGGATTCCATCTCAACCACAGAGCGCAAGGAGAGGGTTTCCACTGGGAACTGACATTCCGTAGGTGTCCAGCGATCTCACAGTCTCCTTACCTATCGCCTCCATGCCCGACAGAGGACAGGCAGAGGAGGACAAAAAAATGCAAAGCCAGGTGGCTTTTGGCCCTTAGGGATACGCGGAACGCAAGAAGGACAAATAACCTTCTCCAGGCAGCGTCCAGTTGTACTTGGGCCGCTCTGTTGCCTTTACGCCCTCCCTGGAGAGGCCAGAGTCAGGGGAGATCTTCCGCACCGCCCACATCCAGGCTTTTCTTCCTAGTGTGCCCCCAGACCCCGAACCAGGATCTTTCTAGCCACCCTCTGCTTTTCCCGGCTCCCACATGCCAGAATCCTGATAAAGACGCTAGGATTCCTGTCTGCCAATACATCAATGGGCAGATGCCCCCTAAGGAAGAGGTTCTTGGGTGCGGCCTCAAGAGTCAGCTCAACGCCGCGTGCTCCCGGCTGCCCTGAGTGCCACCCCGCACCCATGTAACGCAGACCCACGCATTTTCACTGTCCCGCATACTGGTGGGGGGTTCTGGAGCTGCGGTAGGGAACCCGCGCAGCGTCGCACGATGAGAAGCAGATGCCAAGACAAAAGCCAGGTTTTCTGCATCCTCAAGTGGGCTAGGTTGTCCTCCCAACCCCTCCAGCCTGCTGGCTTTCTCTCCTTCGCATCCGTTTCTTCCCCCTCCCTCGCTGTCTCCTTCTTGCGTTTTCTGTCTCTCAAGTACCTATTCCTTAACTGTGACTGGCCAAGACCCCCACCCCCAAGACATCTAGGGCTCAATCTCTAGATGAAATAGGATTCATTTGAAAGAGAGCTGTTCCGGTGGAAAAGAATTCGAATGAGACAACAGGAAGGGCGGAGGAGCGAGAGACCCCGCCCCAATAGTCCAGAACAGGCAATAACAAAGCAAAGTGGAGCGAGCTTCACTCTCAGCCCCGGGCTTTGCTCAGGGAACTAAAGTTCTCCAACTCATCCGAGGAATAGGTGAAAGAAGCTAAGCGGAGGGAGGGGGCAAGCCCCCTCCCTCGGACAAGTTGGAAGAGGGAAGGTTTCTATAAGGGTCTGAAACTCACTCCCTTTACCTGGGTTCCTGGGCTCCACTGGCGAGGAGGGAGGGAGTCTTGCTGTACTAGAGCCTCCCTGACCCCTAGGCTTAGCTAGGGACCTGGTACCTAGCCAAAGGCTGTAGAAATGCCCTGGACGCGCAGGAAGCGATGCTTAGCAGCCTGCGATCCAGAACTGCAGGGAGGCGACCGGGAGGAGGTGTCTGGCAAAGGGAAGATCTAGCTCAGCCTAGGCTAGCACCTACCTGATCCCAGGGAAACGGAGTCCGGCGGCGGCAGGTGAGCAGGAAACGCTGCTATGCATTATTATCCCGTAGACCAGCAAGGCCAGCCTCGCTCCGCTACACATGGTCATTCTACGCAGGAGGGAAAAGAGGGCACGCAGTGAGTGAGATCGCCCCTGGCTTTCCACCTTCTAACCTCAAGAAACTCCTGGGAGTTGGGGGAGCCAGTGAAGCCGCGGCTCCCTGTGTTGAACGCCACTTAGCCACGCTGGTGCGTCCGGCCACTTCTCCCTTGGTATATAGTTTGAAAAAAAAAAAAAAAAAAGATAGCTATGTGTGTGCTCAGCACCCAGTAGCTAGCCAGACCTTGAACTAAACAAGGCTAACTCATACACTGATGCAGCTGCCAGCACAGGGAGGCAGCCTGTAGTCAATGAATCCGTTCGTATGGTATGGTAAGAGATCCCCCCCACCCCACCCCCATTTACTATTAGACTCTTACCGCGGCTAGGAGAGGGTTGGCTGCCAAGTAGGACGGAGGGCAAAGGGCTCCTTCGAGTTTCCGGGCTGGAATCACAACCCAAGAGGCATCACTCACTGTCTGGCGCAGGTGTCTGGAGAGAAGCCACGGGAATTAGCTGCAGGAGCTGGGGGGCACTTATTTGCCGAGGCTAAAAATTCCGCTCAAAACTTTGTAGACGCACAGAACTAGGAGGGAGCGTGACACTGAAGGAGGTGGTGGGCGAGGAGAGAGATGTAGAAGACAGAGTAGGCGAACAGCCAACGGGAGGGGAGCAGAGTGGGCTTAAGTCCGCCTGGGGAAAGAAGCTAGTGGGTAAGAAAAAGAGGGAAAGTCAAGGAAGAGAGGGGGATGGAAAAGGAGAGGGTAGCCCAGGCTGCCGGCCTCTGTGGGAGACAATCAGCAGCTTGCAAGAGTCCGAGGCAGGCACCTTCTACTCCGAGGTCTCAGGCTGCGTCTGAAGAAGATGCGGCTTCTGCTGCTGCTGACAGAGGTGACCGGCCTTCTGCTCCTATTTATATATGCAGTTAACAAAAAAAGCTATCCAAATGTGGTTTCAAGAGACACCTCTTTGTCAACATCTGTCTGCAATTGCCTTCAAGTACAGAGTATTTTGGTTGCACTGTTGCGCTCCGATTTTTATTCATGATATGACTTCCTTTTTTTTTTTCTCAGTCACGTAATGATCCGGTATCAGTAAAAGACGTCAGCATCCTAGTCCCTCAAGGAACATATTAACTATTCTGTGCTGTCCTCCAGGATGATAAGATCCGGAGTCATCAGCTTCTCATAAACACCTTTCACTCACACAATCCAATTTTTAAGAAGTCCAATTATTTTGATGATTTTCGATTTCACCCATTTCTCAAAGACAAGTGAAGAATTCGTGGAATTTAGGGGATGGTGAAGTCATGTTTTTATTGTGTCTCTGCTTCTTTTTACTTTTTACTCAAGCCCCATGGAGGACAGCTCTGATCTTTAGAATTAAGCACCACCAAGCTCTCCCATTAATAAATTTAATTTAAATCTCTTAATTTCTTGCTTATGTTGTTCCAGATAGGCAATTAAATGTGGAAGTAGTTTTGTGTTTTAAAGGGAAGTCTTAGAGGATTTTCAGTAAATGTCTAATGAGTGTGGCTGTGTTGACAGTCTGTCTCTCAGTAGATTGATGAGACAGGGAAGGCTGGCTGCCTCGGGAGCAGAGCTTGTGGCGCTGTCCAGGCTCTGGGTGCTGAACAATATTGGGCGCAGATGCTACAAACGTTGAAAATTGCCACTGGCTTAATTTTCACCACAGCCTCTAAATCTGAAGGATTGGCAGTGGTGCTCTTACTGTGGCAATTCATTGTCTAAATCGCACCGCTGTTCAGATCTATCTCCCCTTACATCCTGTGTCCATGAATGTCCCAGTGCTCAGAAACCTTCTTAATCCCTGCCTTAGATTTCAGTGCAGAGCTGTTTCTTCTTAGTTAGTCCTGGTATTTGGATCTCTACCTTCCTTGTTTGCACACTTTCACACTCTTTGTGGCTCTTACTGATTTTAAAAATTGAAACCATGGCATCATGTTTTCTGCAAGAATTGAAATTTTAAGACTGTGAGAGTGAGAAATGTGTGTCTTACACTTCTCTTATAAGTTGAATTCTGTTTAGGGAAATACAGACTGGGAATGCAGGATTCCTAGCACAAGTTTTCTTGGTGAAGGCTGCTACCAGGAACCTTTCCCTGGGAATAGTTAATAGCTTTAACTAAAAATAAAATGAGAAGAAGAAATAAATAAGGAAAGACCACATCCACTGGGAACTTTCTGAGCCCCTGAGTAGTTCCAGAAGATTCATAAATTTCTGGTCCACTAAGAGATCTTGAGTGTCTTCCTTTTCAGAGGGAAATAGAAGCATCAATAACCATTAGTGCACATTTTGACTATTTGGACCTTATACACACAAAAAATTAGAGGAAATTACAATTAAGTAGGAGTGTTTCCTGTTACTGTAATTTGGGGCTTGTGTTTAAATAAGCTGTTAGTTCTGCATACTTTTTCAAAGGCATAGTGTTTCTCATTTTTAATGCTATCCTCACTTTTTGAGATTTAATTCTTCCTCCAAGAATGAAACTTTTTCCTTATTTCCTGGCTAGGAATGATCCACAGCTGCCTGTTTCCTCTTTATTTCCTTCTAGCTTTATATTGCCTACTTTCAACAAATGACATTTCATTTCTCAGTGTGTTATGATACATCTGTTTGCTGGAGTATCTACATACCTGTATTACATGTTTGGTGACCACCTTCCCCAGCCCTCACACAAAGAGCCTGCGGTGAATAAGAAGGATAATCTAGCAGAACCGCCTTTCTTAACAAACTTGCCCAAAGCTATTGCCTACAGTGACTTTCCTGACTTCAACCTCTCTGCAAGTCAAAGGTGAACCCCATTAAAATCCTCACTTTTGCCTCCCATTTGAATTCTGAAATGAGTTCAATTTGGAAAAATCTTATAAAATCTCCAAGACTACTTGTTTAAAATTCACTGCTCAATGCCCAACTTTAGTCAAGAGAGCCACCATGTGGGGAGTTTTGATGACTTCAAGATCTGTTAAAGGAAGAAACCACAAACAGGAAAATTAAGCAAGCCTTCAAGAGTGCCAGCTTGCTTCCAGCTCACTGGGGTTGTGCCAGTCTCGCTCAATGGACCTCAAAGGTATTTGGGATCCAACACCCCAAAATCACATGAGCTGAGGTTGATTCCACTCACTAGAGTGAAAAACTCAGCAGAGAATTTGAGATTCTTGATGGATAAACTCCAGAGACCTGGTCTTTCTGGGTGCCATCTAAAGCCCACCTAGCCCTGCCCCGCAGTGGCCCAAGGACTAAAACCCTAGAGCTGGAACAGGCTCATTTCTGCAGATATTTTCATGGCCAATAGCCATCTTTAATTAGGAGAGTTTGGCCTCTGGAGATCGAGGAAACATTCCTATTGAGAGTTCTGGCCTGAGCCCTTGGTCAGAAATATTGGAAGAAGGGGAGAAGGCTGAACCCTTGGTTGATGAGAAGTGAGGGAGGCTGTATGAGAGAGAAAATAGTGAGAAGCTGAGGGCTGATGTTCTGAGAGCTGTGTGAGTTTGGGACTGCATCCTACTTGGTCAAATTCCTCCACTGGAATTCCTTTCTGCTTTGAATGGTGGGTGATATCTCAATGACCAAGAGTGGCTCCCTAACTACTCACAAGAGTAGGTATTTGCTGCTAATTTCAGGGATGTTCCAGGGCAGCCTTAAAATGCTGTGTCTGGGAGGCTTTTGAGTTTGGAGTTTTGAACTTATGTGCGGTGAGCAACTGTCAGCCAAAAAACAGTCAAGAAAGCTTCCCACCCAACACTGTCCACACTGACTGGTGTGCCAGAAAAGACTGGGTAGGAGACCAAAGCCAGTCACGGAGACTTGCTAATTAGGCATGCGCCTGGCAACTTGGACTAAGATGCAGGAAGGAGCCTAAGCACAGATCAGAGGGACCCTCAACAAAATAGCTGTTCCTGGGAAGAATAGGAAGAAGAAGAGGAGAAGAGAGGAGAATATGGGGGGGGAGGCCTTCTGATTTTTTTTAATCCGATTTCTATCCCAAGCGGATTTTTATATCCTCCTACCAGTGACTCTGTAAAGAACATGAGGAATTTCCTGATATCCTATATATAATTGCAAATGGGGGGGGTCGAACTTTCTAGTTAGATAGCACCAAGAAATGGAAAAATTTCTCAACACCCATATTCCTTCCTCTTCATCCCCACAGTTTGGTAGACTTCCCAGGCTGACCATTTCTCTCCAGACTACAAAACCCAGGAATGTTACATTAGCTGGAATCATATTATCATAGAAAAGATGGAAGAGCCAGGAAATCTTGGAATGCAAGCTCTCACCACTGTCCTCCAACAGGCAGTGGCTGAAGGTACCTGAGTCTAAGCCCCCTACTCTCTGACCTACCTGGAAAACAATCTTCAGAAATGTTTATTAGAAATGTAGAAAAGCCCTTAATTTCAAATTCCTAATATGTTGCCTCTTGTTTGCCCTGTTAGTCCTTCAGATGTGAAAACAAGTTTTGATCCAAAACAATGAACCAGCTAAAAATCAAATTAACATATTCCCTAAATTGTTTCTCCTGCCACATACATCTGCATTTTTGTTGTGGGAGCCTTGAATATTAAGTCACCACTCAATTCAAAGAACTTTTTAGCCTTCAAAGAAGTAGATTTTTGTATCAAAACCATTTTGGTCTTTGGAAACATGACCCCTGTTGAAAGTTTGAATTTACAGGTGGCTTTCCCCTAGCAAACACAATAGCATTTGCAGGGTCTTGTCTGTCAATCAGATTCCTGCTCTTTGAACCATCTCCACCTGAGGAATCGGTTGAGTGGGAATCTTCATCCATCAAATCCATGGTGAATTAAATTATCTTTTTGCCTTTATGCAGACCAGTGAAGTGGGACTCAGTTTCCCAGGTAAGGAGATTTCTACTCCTTTCCTCCTGACCCAGTCATTCATAGCACTCATAATTTCCCTGTGTCCCTTTCTCTTTCCTCTACTTAGCTCTCCACCTTACACACTGCCACCGTCTCTATGCCCTTCTCCATCAGGTTTTTTAATCATAAAAAGGACATGTTGGCATAAAGCATCTTTACACATTCATAGAATAAGCAATATTCAATAAAGATTTCAGAAACCATATGTTGTCTTTCTATTCTTTTCTAGTTGGCATTTAGCATCCGAACCAGGCTACTGTGAGCCCTTTTGGTGAACAAGCTTAATACAGAACATCATCCTCCTTGGTGAATGACAGAAGTGAGTTATACGTCTGTATTCAATTTCACTCTAAACTTTTTCTCTTCTGACTCTTCCAGAAAATGTGATGACTAATGACTCACTGCATACTGATTCCACCTGTAGGGAAGCCCAAATGTTTTGCCACAGAACATCATGACCATGGATTACTTTGCTGCCTGCATCATTCACTTCTAAACTCACTGTGAAGTAAGGAGAGATGAGCTTACCCGTAATGTGTCATGACTTCTCTGACCTTCAGAGTGGAATGCCTCCCACTCTGAAAACAACCAGGAAAGGGAGCCTCTCCAAACCACATGAGTAAGTATTTCTCTCTAATCCAAGAAAAGAATTGCATGTTTGCATGGCTAAGAAATTTGCTAATTTTTGAGACACAAAGCAGATAACATAATAATAAAAAAAAAAAAACCAGGAAGTGTGCTTTATGTTGTGGAGTTAGATCATTTCAGTAGCTTCATGGACATCTCTTCTAAGGCCTAATTAAGCTGCACATGAATCTACTGGTCACCAAAAACTATAACCCAGACTTCACTGTGTGGCTCCTGCCAAATTCTCCAGAGATTTTTAAAATCAAGAAGAAAGTGCTCTTAACTTGAGCTCCATTCTCTACTCACATAAGGCTTAAATATAGAAGTAAAATCTTGAAGAGTATCTAGCAAATTCAATATCCTAAATAGTTTAGCTGACAGCTTCTGAAAACACTGAAAGAGGGATATATGTACAAAGTCTTTGTATGTAAGTCAAAAGAACATCTTACTCTGTGGCTTTTTAACATCCCAAACCTCTGCCCGCTGAGCTCTGAGTCAGTCCTATCTGTCAATGAATATATGAATATTTGTAATAAGATTTTGTTTTTAAATTTGTTTTTATTATCCTTAGTACTAGTACTGTGTAGTAATATCTCTGTAAATACATTTTTAATGATGGGAATCAAAACCATAGTGTGTCATGCAAGTGCTCTAACACTGAGCTACATCCCTAAACCAAGTAAATACTTTTCAAATAATATTCTTTCTACTCAAACATATATTTGCATTAAAACAAACAAGCAAATAAAAACTATCACCTGTCTGCTTAGACTAAAACTACATTTGTCATGAGTTTAGTCTTTGATACTTATTAATTCTTTAAATTGTTTTAAATCCTTCTTTCCAAAATGGTTCTCTGATATTGCCACTCCCCATTAGTAACAACAATAATTTAGTGAATACTTGCCATGCTAGATGCTTGGCTAATATTATTTCCCCTCGTAATAGTTTTCTTTGTGGATACCAGTGCTACTTCTATTTGACACATGAGAGGCTCAGACTAAAAGATGCTAGGGAACTTCCCCAAATTCAAATTAAGTCTAAAAGACTCTGACGAGTTTTAATGTCAATGGTAAATTATATTGGCTTACATATTTATTTTCTCTAGAGTTATTATAAATGTAAACTACTAGTTTAATATCAGCTTTAGTCCGTGCCTTGACTCAATAAGAAGAAAGTCAACTTCTTATTCATTTTCTAATTAAAAGTCATGTATAATATAATAGAAATCAAATTCTGTTAACTTGGTTGGTACTGGCTAAGTTAGAACACAAACATATTGCATACTGCAGGGAGGGTTGTTTTATAGACTAGGCATTTATAGTGCACCACATATTCCTATTTCTATTTACTAAGAGGCTAAAGGTTCAGAAGTTTAAAAATATTACTGCCTTAAACCATTGTTGAAGATGATTTCATATTTAATAATGCGGCAAAAGTTTTAATACTGTGTTTAGTTAAAAAAAAATCTATGTTGTTTAAGTTCACCATTTAATATCCATTGTATCATTGTATCTTATTAAATCATCATATAATTCAATACCACAGAAGCCATATAATCACTGGTGACTCAAGACTTCAATGAGTCAAATGAGGTGATGTGTATAGAAATGATGCCACTGTAAACCCTAGGCCAGAACTGAAGGCAACCTGACATTTTCTTTTAGCTCCTTTGTTAATAGTCTGTGTTAGTAAATGTATTTTTCCCATCTAATCCTTTTCACTGACCTGGGAAACAGGCATGATGTTATTATTGTTCTGTCTTTACCAGTGGCTGAACTAGAATTCTTAAAGCTTCATCATCATGCCAGCAGCTCACAGCTAACAAATGACAAGGTCAGGTTTCAAACCTAGAAGCTTTCCCAAGTCAGAGTGTTTTCTACTATCATCCAGCCTTCCCGTTGTGTAATGACCATTAAGTCTAAGTGTAGATGAAGCAGAACCTTTCAAACAAGCACGGCTGTTTAACAAAGCACCAATTTTAAGGCTAACATGAATAAATCATTTTTGAGAGGTTTGTTGTTGTTTGTTTGGCTGGCTGAGTTTGAGTTTTCTGAGACAGGATCTTGGTAGGTAACCTAAGCTGGCCTGGAAAACTCAGTTGGTCTCAAACTCATGGCTTCAGCCTTACAGGTACTAGGATAAGAGAAGTGTGAGGTACTACATCCAGCAAGTTCTTACTTTTTCCCTGGTATTTGAAGATTGAATGGAGTTGATATCCATCATTTCCACTCACAGGTTTTTGTTTGATTGGTTCGTTGGTTGGTTTTTCAAGACAGTTTCTTTGTGTAGCCCCAGCTATCCTGGAACTAGCTCTGTAGACCAGGCTAGCCTTGAACTCATAGACATCTGCCTGCTTCTGCTTCTTAAGTGCTGGGATTAAAGGTGTGCACCACCAATGCCTGGCTACTCATGTGTATTTTTAAATGTGATAAGTATAGCATTTAAAACAGTATAGTGCTAGTGAAATAAAAGATCTTAGGAACAGTAAACCAAAACATATAGATATAAATTCTACTATCTAATTTCTAGTTCTAGTATCTAGTATCTAATTTCCAGTGGAGAAAAAAGTAGAATAGTGGGACTAATGGCTATACTAGATTAAGATTTCGTGTTTTCAACAATATGTTCAACTAGGTTAAGGACAGAAATATGTGAGAAAAATCACAAAAGTATTAGAATCATTTGTAAATAATTTTAGAATCATAAAAGAAAGTTTAAGGCTGGTAATTGAAAAATGGTTTCATAAAAAGAGATTGATAAATTTTGACTAAAATATTTTTAAATTATGTTTGGAGGGACTTCTAGGGAAAAGGGAGACTTCCACTAGTGGGCTTATTGCTCATTGGAATGGCTGCCTGGGGCAAGGTCCTGGGTATGGTATCCTAGCATTCACATCTTTAGAAGGGCATTGCTGTGGGTATCTTCTCCTCACAGCCGCTAGTGGGTGCTGTTAACCAATGTCAGCTGTAGATATTCTTCTACATGGTCATCGTTGGTTTGGCTTTCATCTTCAAGTTTGGAATCTCTTGCTCACAGCTGTCTATTGGTCAAAGTAAAAGAAACAGATGGCATCGCTGCTTCCTGGAAGGTCATTAGCAACAACAGCATGAACTGGAAAGACGTTTTGACTGTTGCTTGCTCAGCCTTACAGCCCTCTAAAACTACAAGATGATTCCTCCTGCAACGCAGTCTGCAACTTCAGGAATTCCATTTGCCAGATGTATGGGGGGGGAAAGTTTGTTAAATATTCAGATGAAGCCTTGAGACTCCTAGATTTTATTGGACTCTTTTTGTTGTTGTGGGGTTTTATTGTTTTTGAGACAGGGTCTTACTATGTACTCCCAACTCCCTGGAACTCACTATGTAGACCAGGCTGGCCTCAAATTCATAGATATCCACTTGCCACTTGCTTCCCAAGTGCTGGGGTTTAAAGTATGTAGAACCACCATACCTGGATGGACTCTTCTTTACAGAAACTTTAGATGTTTCACTAGCAGTGAGATTTTGGAATGGGAAAGATCCTCAAGCCAACCTCAGTGGATTTCTAAGAGACTTTTGGTCCTATTTATTTATTTGCTTTTGCACAGGGTCTCACTAGCTAACTCTGACTGACTTAGAACTTGCAATGTAAACCAGGCTGGCCTTGAATTCAGAGATCTGCCTGTCTCTGCTTCCTCAGTGTTATGATTAAAGGCATCCTCTAACCCAAGAACCTTCATTAGATAAGACCTTGTAACCCAGACCAACCTTGAACTTCCTATGTATTGAAGGATGACCTTGAGTCCCCGATTCTCCTGCCTTCATCTCCTAAAATGCTGGGATTCCAGGCAGTTAACAGGCTTTAGATCCTTCTGACTTTGCCCTGCCCTCTCCCAGCTTTAAAAAAAAAATGTATCTCCTCCCCCCTCTGTGTGTGTCTGTGTGTGTGTGTGTGTGTGTGTGTGTGTGTGTGTGTGTGTGTGTGCTCACAAGAACCAAAAGAAGGCCTCAGATCCCCTGGAGCTAGAGCATAAGCAGTTGTGAGCTGCCTGAAATGAGTACTAGGAACTTGGCTCCCATGCAAGAGCTGCAAATGCCCCTAACTATTGAGTCCTTTCTCCAGTCTGTCTCCCAGATTTCAATAGTCCCTTAATCCCTTAGTTTCTGGGAAATGTAAGGCCTTCACTCCCCACTGTAGTGGGTAGCCATTCCAGCTTTGATCTGGAAGTTCCAACCCCCATTGAGACTTCCGCAACTGTCACGCCTACAAGGCGGGGCCAAGGGAGGCGCCTGGAGACCTGAGATCTGGATGGGCTGCGCTCTCACTCGGTTCCGGGACCTTGGACGGTGAAGGTGGGCCAAGCAGAGCTCCAGAGAACACCGCTGGACTGCGATACACCTTCCCCAGACCCCGCGACCTACCTATCCCTTAACTTGTAAGGTACGCCATTAAATAAATCTCCTTTTAACTACGTGGAGTGACCTTAATAATCTCACCAATACCCCACACCTTTTTTTTTTTTTTTTTTAAGAAAAAAGGCTCTTTGCCACATCTCTTAATACTGATCAACTGAGAAACTAGGCTTTCCACCTTTACATATTTTGATGGGAGAAAGATTATGGGAAATAGAAAGGAAAACTTTCTGCCCCTCCCTAAGAGAAGAGAAGAGGGCTGGAGTCGGTCGTACCTGTTTCCCTCTCCTCAACAATCGAGCCTGGCTCCAAGAACAAACCAGAACAGCACCAAAGGACAGATGCAAGAATCTGTGTGAAAGACACTGATGGAGATGGAACCCAGGACCTCACCCATGTTAGACAAGTGCTTCTACCACTGGACTACATCACAGCCCCTCCCAAAGTTCCTGTAAAGGCAGGGTCCAGAATAAAGACAGTCAGTGGATATAAAAATAAATGCCATTTTAAAAATTATCTGGGTCAGTGAGATGGCTCTTGCCCTCAGACGTGATGTCCTGAGTTCAATCCCCAGGACCTGCTTAGGGTAATGAAAAGAGAGAACTGACTCTCACAAATTGTCCTATGACCTCCTCGTGTGTAGTATGGTACAGATGCATGTACACATATGCACATGTACACATGAGTAAATAAACATAATTTTAATTTTTAAGATTTGTTTAATATGTGTGTTGTGAGGGAGAGGGTGTACATGAGTTCAGTCTTCCACAGAGGCTAGAGGCATTGGATCACCCTGGAGCTGGAGTCATAGACAGTTTGAGCTACCTGACATGGCCTCATGAACTCAGGTCCTGTGCAAAAGCAGTTTATGCTCCTAACCTCTGAGCCACCTCTCCAGACCCATTAAAAACCATTTTCAACTTTCTACATTAAAAAAAAAAATCCACAAGCCACTAAAATCCCAGGTACTTGAGAGTCAGGGAGCCGGGGAATCACATGAGCTCAGAAGTTGGAGGCCAACCTGGGTAACACAGACCCCTTCTCAAGCAAGCAAGCAAACAAACAAACAAAATCTATAAATACATTTAAATGATACACATATAAACTTTGAGACAATATTGGCATCATTTGTGAAAATATAAGGCATTCAAGATTGCAACATAAAGGAATGTTTATTTATAAAGAAAATGCAGTCACACTAAATGTGAAGTTGGTGGTTGGCAGTGGTGGCGCAGGCCTTTAATCCCAGCACTCAGCAGGCAGAGGCAGGAAAATCTCTGAGTTTGAGGCAAGCCTAGTCTACAGAATGAGTTTCAGGACATCCAGAACTACACAGGAAACCCTGTCTTGAAATTTTTTTTAAAAAAGTGAAGTTGGTAAAGAGCATAAGTAAGCAATTTCAAAACTAGAAACATGACTGGGCCAGAAGATTTATGAAAATACTTCAAGAGAATTTTTTCTTTTTTCCAAATGCATGGGCAGTTGTGTTAATTACCTACTCCTCTTTGGAAACCACATAATAGGGCTTATTTACTTGATAATTGTGTACTTTATATTTGCTCCTTTGGTCAATTAGAGGTAACACAATGATTACATAAATACAAATAACAATACCTGTTTTCTCTTGCAGTTCTAAGAGTTGAACTGATTGACTTGAGCACACTAGGCAAGCACAGATATATCACATTATAAATCTGGGGAGGATTCATTTTCTTCTACTATGTCCTGTTGTCAAACATACGCTCAAACACTGCTGAGGAGTAGGTATTGATCCAGCCTATCCAGAGGACAGGTTGTCAATTGTGCATAAATTAAACTCACTGATTTACTGCTGGGGATTTATGCTGGGGAAATAAGCAAGCATGAACCAGCCCAAAGATTAACTGCAACCCTATTCATAGCACCATTGATTATAACACAAAACCTTTGAAAAATAAAAAAAAAAAACTAAGAGGGTGTCTTTTAAGAGGGAATTCATTCAACTTCTCTTAGTGTAGCTCTTCAAAGATGCATAATTTCCACTATGAAATTAAATGATTTTGTAGAAAAGTCCTTAGTGATGAGAAGGTATTTATAATATGTCATCAAATAAAAAGAGTGGGTTATAAACCCCAATATTTAGTAGAATACCAAACTTGTAAAAAACACAACACATTTATAGCTATACATCTGGGCAATGCATAATAAAAACATCCATTGTTAGTGTTGGGAATTATGGAAAGGAACCTGTGCTGTATTAATTTTCTTTTCATGCTTTTCCATTTTTTCTGAGTTTTTAAATGAGTGTTTTTGTGATTCTTCTTTTTTGCTTTGTTCCAATTACTTGCATTCTTGTTTTAAGATTCATTTTAAAATACATGTGTAATGTGTGACTTTTCCTTGATACCTGTTCAATAAAGGTGTACTTTCTCTTTTGTTAAAATTTCCTTTGTTTATATGGAACTTAAATAGTTGGGGTTGTACTTCCTTAGTGCCACCCTTTGACCTCGAACTGGAAGGAAAGCTAGAAGTAAACCATATCAGAGGCAAAAAGAAGAGAATCAAACCAACCATTAAGGGAGCCAGCTGAGCTGTAGCGGGTTCAAAAAGAGACCAGAGAGGAAGAGTCAAGCAGCATTACCGTCAGCCATTACTAGCACACAGACTAAATTACCTTGTGTTTAAGTCATTGTCGATGAGATTAATTGAATGTGTTGAATGAAATTTGTGCTGCATGAAGTTGAACTGTATCTTGGAAATCTACTTTACCCTGCATTAATCAGAGATGGATCATCCGACTCATGCTTTACTCACAACTCAGTGTTTTATGACCCAGTTCTGTTGTCCTGTTTTATGTCATCGTAGAGATCCAGGTACCTGATCAGTGTCTTCTGATTCCTTCTGACCTCCATAAAGTATATTCTTCTATGTCAGCGTTCAGGGCTGATTTGTATAAAAGCTGAATTATAGCTAGCAAGCAAGTGTGGCCAAGTGCTGGGTTTGAGACAATGAGTCAAAACTTCCAATGAGTGGTATTTGTGAGTTGAATTACGTACCTTCCCCCCGCCCTGCAAATTATGCTGATATCCTATAACCCAATACTTAAGAATGTGGCCTTACTTAGAAGTAAGGTCTTTGCAGATATAATGAAGTTAAAATGAAGTTGATAGGGTGGACCCTAATCCACCATAACTGATGCCCTTATGAAAGTGAGAAATTGGCCACAAACACAGACATATACAAAAGGAAGAGTACAACCATGAGATGGTTCACTCAGTAAAGTGCTTGCCAAACAAGTATTAGGAACCAAATTCAATCCCCCAGAACTCACCTTTAAAAAGCTGGGTATGACAGTACATGCCTGCACTCCCAGTACCAGGTAGGTGAAGACAGGGAGGTCACAGGCACTTGCTGGCCGGTGTAGCTGAAACCAGTAAGATCCAGGTTCAGTCAGTGTCAGACTATCTCAAAAATTAAGATGGAGAACAATTAAAGAAGACACTCAATATCAACCTCTGACCTCCACAAGCACCTGTATATGCTTATGTAACTGCACTCACATACACCCACCTACAGGAACACATGCACCCTCACACATGCAAACACACACACACACACACACACACACACACACACACACACACAAAGACTACATGAAGATTGCAGTTACGCTAACATAAACAAAATTTCTGAGACTTGGAAAGCAGGAAGAGGCAAGAGAAGATCTCTTCCCTCCAGTGTACACACCAAGAATGCCTCCAAAACCTCCACGGCAGAATTCTTGCCTCCATAAGTATGAGACAAGAATTTTCTGAATCACTTTATTACAGCTGACCAAGAAACTAACACAGGTAATAGAGTACCCCTTCCTTTAAAAAAAAACTAAAATGCAAACAACTCTGAAGAAGTACAGGAAACCTCCAGAACCTTCCAGTCTCGGTGGTTGCTGTAAAGCTTATCGTAGCAAATTCTTTAGCAGAACACCTTAATTTCTGTTTTGTGTCACATTTTATCTTTAAACAGATTTTGTTTGCCTTCTTGTTTGTTTGTTGTTTGTTTTTGGAGACAGGGTTTCTCTGCCCTGGAACTCACTCTGTAGACTAGACTGGCCTTGAACACACAAGGATCTGCCTGCCTCTGCCTCCAAAGTGCTCAGATTAAAGTTGTCAACCACCACCACCACCCACTGCTGTGTCTTTTAAAATTCAGTATCAGTTTTATTCATTTGAAAATTTCACAGATATGTAGGAAGAGGGCATATATATGTAACAATTATGTCACTGAGAAAAAAGACAAAAAGAGGAGTAAGACTGAATTTGACATGGAAATGTGTGTATGAACTGCTCACTTTAAAGCATGTGCTTCCTAACATGTCTAATGAAAGGACCAAGAAACAATGACGGAGTGACAGTTCTCCATTTCAAACATTTGGGTTTTGGTGCTCAAATCCCACTCTCTACTAAAAGCAACCAGAACTCATTGAAAACATGGTGACAATTTGAGAGAGAAATATACAAAATAAGGATAGAACATCTTTTACTCTAGAAATCAAAAAACCTATCAAATTCTAAAGAAGTTCTCACTCTCACAAGATGGGATCAGCTGCACAGTACAAGGCATATTGATGTAAACGGAAGTCTCAACTGCTTTAAAACCCTGGGTCCACCAGGTGGTGGTGGCGCACGCCTTTAACCCCAGTACTTAGGAGGCAGAGGCAGGCAGATCCCTGTGAGTTCAAGGCCAGCCTGGTCTACAGAGTGAGTTCCAGGGCAGAAAGGGCTACATAGTGAAACCCTGTCTTGAAAAAACAAAGCAAAGCAAAGCAACAACAACAAAAAAAATATGGATCCATAGCAATGTCTTTCTTTTTAACTTTTACTGATTCTTTGTGGATTTCATATCATATATTTTGATCCCGCTTACCTCCTGTCCCCCTTTCCCCTTGAATCTACCCTCTGCCCTTGCCAACCTCCCCCAAAAACAAAACAAAATTTAAAAGAAAAAACAAAAATCAAAGAAAAACCAAAGAAACAAACAAACAAAAAAAACCAGTTTGCCCTTTAGTCCGTTTATCTTTACTTGCAAGTGTTCATTGCAGTGAGTTCTTGGTCTGGCTCAAGGCTTCTGGCTTCTGCTCAGTCACCAATAATGGGCACTCACTGGGGCTCCTCTTGGATATCCTGTTGTTGTCCTGTGTCGTGGAGATCCTGCTGTTTAGAATCTGTAGGTTCATTCCCTTCACCTTCTCCAATAGCTCATAGATGAAGTGGATGTTAGGGTGGGCCAACTCTTAGCCGGGTTCTGGGCCTGGGTGGTAGCTGGGTTGGTCAGCCTGCCAGCTTTCCCTCATTGTCACTACCAGGGTGAGCTCTCCTGCACTGCCTCAACTAGCTCACCCAATGCAGTCTGTAGCAAGGGGAGGGGGGGGGCCTAGTTCTTCTGCTGTCGGGTCCTCAGATCCAGGTCACCCACACTCACAACACCAGGGCCGGCTCTACTGTTTTGCCCAGGCTCTCCCTCCTGATCATAGCAATGTCTTACAAAGTAAAATGAGGACTGAAAAGGTGGCTCAGCAGTTAAGAGCATTTGCTGCTCTTACAGAGGAGCTGAGTTCAATGCCCAGCTCCCACATCAGGTGGCTCACAACTTCCTATAAATTGAGCTCCAGAGGATCCAACACCTTCTTCTAGCCTCCTCACACATCCTCGTATATGCATCATACACATACAGGCACAAACATAGAAATAAAAATAAAAATTTTTTGAAATAAAATGAGAAGAATCTCACTGATCACTTCAGTGAGTGCTAAAAAGCCAAGCCACTGTTCTTATTTGTGTCTCTTTCTTTTCTTTTTCTTTCTTTTTTTTCAGAGCTGAGGATGGAACCCAGGGTCTTGCACTCTACCCCTTAGCGAAATACCCAACCCCATTCACTAGCTTTTCTTAAGTGGGCATACAACATGATGGATTTCACTATGGCATTTTCATGCCAACTTTCATCTTCCTCCTCCCTCATCCCCGACTCCTGTCCCTTTTCCCCAGTCCACTTCTGCTTTCCCCTCCTCCCTTTAGTAGCCACCCCTCATCGCTCTGCTTCCGCCTTCTTGTCATAAGTATTCCATTAAAGATCTTCTCATTTTTCCCTCCTTACCCTTACTAAGACTTCTACTATCATGGCTACCACCTACACACACACACACACACACACACACACACACACACACACACACACAAATAAATGTTTGTGAAAAGAAAAGTATACTCAGAAAAAAAACTTAGTGTGTTGTGAACCTAGACATTGTCCCAGGTTCTAAAGATCGATTCTTAACTAGAACCAAGGGGACTACAGAGATGGCTCAGCAGTTAACGATACTTACTATTCTTGCGGTGGGCCCAAATCTGAATTCCAGAACCCATATTGGATAATTCATATGCCTGTACTCCAGCTCCAGAAGATCTGATACCTCTGCCCTCCATCAACACCTACTTTCACACACACACACACACACACACACACACACACACACACACACACACACTTAATCAATCAATCAATCAATCTTAGGGGGAAATATGGGGGATAGGGCCCAAATGATCGTGGAACTATACCCTGGTGGCAGGGTGACAGAAGGTAAACACATCAATAAATAAATTACTAAGAGATTTTCAGACACTAGTAAGTCATGACTCATGTATCATACTTCCCCTCACTGGCCTGTGGAAGACAGATGTGATTAATCAACACTCCTCCCTCCTGAGCTGAGCTCAGAGTCAGAACCCTTCTCAGTGTGGCACTGGAAGCACATGAAATCCATCCAAGTTGTCACTTCAGTGAAGTTTCATTATTATCCGAAGCCTAGACTCTTCTATAAGACAGCTGTTTTCAAATTCCAAGAACCAGCTCTGGCAAACAGAATCCCAAACCATCACCAATTTCAGTGTTCCCAGAATTTGATAATCCTTGCTCTCGCTCTCTCGCTCTCTCGCTCTCTCTGTGTGTATCTCTCTGTCTTTCTCTCTGTCTCTCTGCCCCCTGCCCCCTTTGTTCATTTTGGAAATGACAAAATTGCATGTTAGCTACACAAAATTACTTTTATTCCTTTCAAATAATCCCTACTAAAAAATGATAAACATTCCTTTTTTAGATAGCCTCATATATCCCAGGATTTCCTCAAACTTGATATGTATCTGAGAAGAATCCTAACCTTCCAATCCTCATTCCTCCAACCCCTGAGTGCTGAGATCACTGGTGGACACCTCTACACTTGGGTGGGTTTTGGGTCATTAGTGCAATGTATTTTCAACATATTCACCCTTCCTTCCCCATTTCAACTTTCTTGTGTGTTCCCGCAAATTCATGTCCCCTTTTATAATTATTATTCACACACACACACACACACACACACACACACACACACACACACACACACACACACACACACACACACACACACAACTTGTGCTACTGAGTCCAGTAAGTGTTGTCTTAGGGGTATAGACTGATCACTTGCACATGGGCATCCTATCAGGAAGGTTGTTCCTTAAGAAAATTAACTCTCCTTCCCTTAGCAGTATGGACTTTTTGAAGTTCTTTCACTGGGATAGGGAAAAGCTGCAGGTGGGGTGCTGCTGCTGCCTTGAACTGGACAAAGACAGCAGCAGATGTTTTAAGGAGAAAAGGGAACTCTGTGCTAGGGTGAGTTGGTCAGTCCTGATTGGACAGGTTAGCCAGTGTAGCCAAATAATGAAATTTGATTGCT